ATATATAAGAACAAGGCTTTTTTACATTGTTTATTCCAGCATAACTGTACCAGAAACAGAATGCCAAAAGTTAAAAAAAATACGTAAATGGGAATAAACAAATCCTTGACTTTGTCTCATCAACAGCCTTGTCTTTTGTAAGGGAGCTAATCAACAACCCAGCCCACTCATATGCGACAGAGAGTTGATGATGAAAATGGCTGCGTTGTCCTTGCATTCATCACACAACAGAAGGATAATTAAAATAAGACTGATTTTTGTTTGACTGCGTGTATGTTATATTGGGGTAATGAGAAAGGGGTGGAGGACAGACACTGGGTCATACATTTGATGAAAAGTTGACACCTTACTTTTAATCCCTGTCCAAGCTAAGATGGATGGCAACCTTGGGAGATAAAATCTGATTTGAAGCATTTCCTTCTCCCTATTAGACATTTCGGTTACTCGTGATGAGCAAGAAGAAAACCATAAATACTGCCACAGATGCCTGACTCTGAGCTTGCTATAAATAAGCCAAGTGAGAAAGATTAATTCCAAACCAACATCATAAATCAGTTTTTTATGGTCCAACAGACTAGTGAATAGAACTTGCTTTAAAAGTAAAGCCGTTAGTTAACATTTAGAGCAATGAAAAATACAGCTTACAATAGATCAGCTCTCGAGAACATACTATTGAGTATTCAGATCCTGAGATAGAAAGGAATCTCTATAGCAACAAATTTAATAAAACCTGTTCTCTCCAAGGCTCAACCCATTTTCTCTGCCAATATGACTAAATCTGCTTTGCTAAAACATTGATCAGGGCTGAGATAGGAAGTTATTACTACCTACCAATTACTATCCTCATATTGACAGGAGGATAAGGAATGAACCCATATCAGCTTTTTATCAATTTCAATTGAGCAGCCAAAGTCAAACTGTCCAGGTCTACAATCTGCAGCCTATTCATCTTCCGTGAATCATTTATTTTGTGATCGATTAAGTATAATTGTTCAGTCAGAGCAATTTGGCAGGAGCCAATGAGAAAATGGAAACAGATGTGGCTTCATTTGCTATTGTCTAATTAATGCAATAAACATTCCATGCAGCAAATTATCACATTTTTTTTTTTTTTCTGGGGTAGCCGCTTCACATTTTCACTCTCGGGGCAGATGGGGAGGATGCAACATCTGGAATATGGTGGCATCAGAGTGACTAACAGATCAGAGGCTTGTTTTAGAGGTCCAAGCGGCATCGCATTTTTGTGTTGTGAAAACTGTGGGAGTCACTGTTGGTGCAAAATAAAATAGACAAATATAAAGTGCCAAAAATACAGACATTTCAGATCTCACATGCTGGAGTGAGAATCGGAAGCACTTATGTGGAAAATTGAAAGAAAAACACAACAGCAGAAAGTAGATGAGAAACGGCATGGCAAGCGGTGTGGCTAATTCATTAAGAGATTGCTGGCAGCTCAGAAAAAAACCGCAGCGAAAATGTGCATTGTTGCATCCAGTTATCTTCAGAGAGAGAGAAAAAATAGAAATAATAGACACAAATAAAACTGCTGATACAAGATCGCCAGATCGACAGATTCCCAAAAGCCCCGTAACAAATGGGGTCAGATTTAGTTGCTGTTTCTCAGCGAGTGTTTAAGAACTGCAGTTTTACCGAGTCAGAAGTGATGAGCAACAGATAGACTGAAGCTCAGGAGTCTCAGGGGAGTCTTGTGAATACCCACAAAGACTCAGTAACTGGTGCCATTGAGATGTGCCCTTTTTTACTGTAGCCCGTCTGATTTCATTCACTAGCATGCATTGGATTGAAGCAGGCTGTATGGGGGTGCAAGTGGGGTGCCTCCACGCACGCACGCACGCACACACGCACGCACACACACACACACACACACACACACACACACACACACACACACACACACACACACACACACGCACACACACACACACACACACACACACACACACACACACACACACACACACCTCCCCTGGGTAATTATTTTTACATTATTACATGTGCTCAGATCCCAGCCGCCCACGCAAGGTGACAGGCAAATTTATCACTCCAGAGGGCTTTGGGGTTGCCTGTGGCTAGCAGCGGAAGATAAATGACAAAATAAAAGCACTCTCTGCTTAAATTGTTTCTGTTAATTCTGTTGAAGAGATTTATGAGTTCATCTATCGATGCATAAATGGAGATATGGTAGAAATATGTATTTGCACGCTGTCTTGCATCGTAGGTATGGGTATCCATCAAGCCATCAGTCATTTATCAGAATAAAAAGAAGCTTGTTTTGGACCTAAACCTAAAGGCTTTAAAGACAACAAAAGAAGCTTTTATTTTGTTGGTGATGTTGATGACGGCGCCCGGTGAGTGACTTACCTTCCGTTGCTCATCAGACCACCGTCAACTCTCTGGAATGTCACTAAAGTCAGAAAAAAGAGACAAAAAGAACAGAATGAAGTACTTTTATTAATGTTTTACAACCTGATTATATTATGCTTAGCATGATTAGATTCAGTGTTTTTTTTCCCCTCTCTGTTTTGTCCAATTTGTCCTTGTGCTTCAATATCCGCTCATCTTTTTCATTTTTATTGCTCAGCTTGTTAATGGAATCACTATGGGCTACAGATATTATTAGTGTTTTTTTTCTGTTTCTTTTTATTTTGTGGTATACATCTTTGATTTGCATTAGTGGAGATGTCACGCATTCGTCAAGGACAAGACGCCTGATGAGAAGTAAAACTCATTTCATCTTTTGATTTCGCTGCCGAGTTATCAGATTTGTTATTAAATTTCAGCCAAAGAATGATTACAAAACACAGAGGGCTCATTAATCACTTTGAGTTTTCTATCTGCAAGTATTGCAGCTGAGTTACTGGTCCTTCTGGCTAGCAGCAGTCCCCAGAAGCAACACATGTGGTCTCTTTCATAAAAGAGATGTATAGATAAAAAGAGGCACTTTTTCTCAGTGGCTTGTAAAACTCTGAAAATGAGGGATCTTCGTCGCTGTTGTGATGAAAAAGCAGCAGAGTTCTAAGCATGTAAGAACTTCAATGGGTTGCAGGAAATACAGAAACGCTGCAAGAGTTTTGGAAATCACCTCATGCCAATGATAAAAAAAAGAAGGAAAATGAGGGGAGATGAGAGGTGCTTCGCCTTAAAAAAAAGAGAATAAATGAAAGGCTGTTAGTAATTTGGCTCATTTGTTCCACAGATGGAGATTAAAGAGAGAAGAAGGCTGAACATTTTCCCTTTTTTTTTCCACCCCCTACTTCATTCAGTTGATTCCACAACAAGCCTGGGCAAAAGATGGGGCTTTTCTGAGGGTGACGTAGTTACAGATGACAGCCAGAGGAAACTCCCACAACAAATCAGAGGAGTTTTTGAATGTAGCGCCATTAGTGAAGGTGATTAAAGAGTTTATTTTGACACGAGAAATGTGTTTTTTTTACACTTACATAGCAGTTAAGCAGTTCAGTGTTTGTTCACTATGTTGTAATTCAAGAAACTTTTCACAAGCAGGTGACACTGAAACTCTAAGTTTACCTATTATTGCAGGTTGGCCAGAATTTAAAAAAAAAGGAAAAGAAAAAAAAAACAGCATTGAGAACTCGGGAAATGTCCTTCTTTATTCGGTCACAGCCGAAGCCATCTCTTTGCTCCCCCACCGCCAAACTTGCATTTGAGAATCCTCTGTTGTCTGAGTGAGGACTGACAGGAGGAGCAGGCAGAGGAGAGGAGATGCTGTGCAGCAGGAAGGCCTCTGAAGTCTCTATCTTTGGTCAGGCACATTTCTGGGCTGCAGAGGAAGACTTTTATGTTAGCCAGAGTGACATGGCTGGGGCTGTGCTTCTCGCCTCCGTCTCCAAGATAAGCACTTTCTCCAATATGAATACAGATTAATCCCCTTTAATAAGCACCAGGGGTGGGGTGGGGATTGAAGGAGTGTAATCAGCATATAAAATTTTCATCAAATCTAATTCTTGCTGGCAGCGTGCCTCAACAGTGTTCTAATTTACTTTTCCTGCACTGACAGCTTTACGAAACTGAGACAGGACTTTGGATACATCCACTAACCGCCAAAGCAAAAGGAAATAAAAAGGAAGTGGTGTAGAAGTTTTTGATAACACTCTGATTTGCATTCAAAATATTTCCTCAGTCTAACTATATAATATGTGCTGAACTTAACCTTAAATAGTGCGTGCCAATTCAAACCCTTTTGTGGAATACCCTGCTTCCTCTCTGGGCTTTTCACAGATGTGTTTCTAATTTAAAACTGAAAGTTTCACTAACATATTCATGTGTTCAGTGTTCTGTTGTTACAGCTGCTGTGTAAAGAACAGAGTAAGTACAGTACGATTTCTGGATTTAGAGTAGGCTGCACAAATCTGTATTCACAAATAAAATCTGTATTCACAAACAGATTTGTCAAGTTGGTAACATTTTTTATTAACTACACCTTCCTTAGCCTTACTTAATTATTAATAAATGGTTAGTTAACATTAAAAACATTATTAATTAAGGATGATTCATACTTAAGGTACAATTAACATTTATTAATATTTTACACATAAACACTAATTGCTTCCAAAACCAACATACTCATTGTTTATTAATGCTTAATTATTCATGAATTAACAATTCTATATACTGTGTGTATGCATATTGATATTCATCTAAATGTGCTCTCACACCATGTGTTAGACATGTATCATTTGAAATTACTGTGCACTAATCCAGCAACGCACTAATAATTAAGGTTGCTAGTAAGCATTTGTTAATGTAAGCAAAACCCTGAAGGGTCACATGTTCTTTTTCACATATAGAGACATAAACCACGGTCAGTTAAAATGTTCTCTAACCACTAATACATGTGTATGGTGTGAAAGTACATTTATGAATATATACATGCAAACATTCCTGAGTTATTCAGCAAGAATAAACAATGCGTACCATAGTTTTAAAAGTAATCAGCTTTTACGGGTAAAGCATTAATAAATGTGTGGATTTATAACTGAGTAAGTATGAACATCCATAACTGATGATGTTTTCAAGGTTAACTATTTATTAATGATTACGTAAAACTAAATAAATTGCAGGTATTATTAAGTTATCATGAAGACAAAAACATTAACATTTAAGGTAAATCCAGGAAAAAGAAAAAAGGCAGAGAAATAATGTATCTGGTTATAGAACTGGTGCTTTTCATATGTAATTCTGTCTTACTTTTTACTGTTTTGCTAAGCTGTACTTTAAAGCAATTACTTCAGACTTTTTGCTCATTTGACTCAATGTGAAGTTAATCAGATGACTTATTTTTACCTGATAGTCCCTGCTGTGTTTAATTCCGTAAAGGGCAAAATGTCTCATCAAAAATTAAAATTTGGATAGCTAAAAGGGGTCATGGCCATTATAGTGTGAGGGATTACAAATAGACAACACCAGGCAATTAAAGAGAAAGGGATTTTCACTATTAAATGACACCAATGGTCTAAATATTGGTAAATTATGGTGCAACTAAAAGGAATAGAAACATTCTAGGAGGACAAGTAAAATGGACAGACTTACCCTGCACCACAACAAATACACAAGACAAAATGGTCTTCATTTAAAAAAAAAGGAAAAAGAAGCGCTACCACAGACATACAAGCATACACATGTAAAATGGCTGTAGATTTGGAAGGGAAAGAAAAAGTATAAATAGACAGCTCAAGTCATGGCCAGTAATAAATTGAGTGTTTTTTTAAATACACGTTTTAATTTTTGTTGGGTGAATTGACTTCGCACTTATGAGGTTTCAATTTTCATTGGCCATGATCAAGCATGGGGCAGTCCAAGCATGAGGGCTAAAAGGGGGCATTAGATGAATCTGCGTTGAGGTGGGGGGTGAGGAGACGGGACAAATGAACAGTACCTGCAGGGGTGAAGGTGAAGGACTGAACTGCAAAACAAGAAGACAGAAAAGTTGTGCGTTAAAAAGCCTGCGGAGATAAGCAGTGCTTTTGGAGGTCTCTGCACACTTGGGATGGAGGCCAAGCCGAGAAGTGATAAGGGTCAAAACAAACCAGTGTGAAACTATATCATCGCCTAGTGTGCAGAGCTAAAAGCAAGGGAAGCAGCCAGCTCAGGGGCCACGGGGGTAGGGTTGGGCATCCAGTCCCGAGTATTGATTAGAACCGTGACCGACACATCGGTTCTCCTGGAATCGTTTGACTTTTAAAATTTAGATTCTTAGTTTCAACACTGCTGACTGGAAGAAGTAGCCTCCTAACACCAATGAAGAAGAATCTGCAGGTAGTGTGTGTGGCAAGTGGACAACTGATTAAACACCATGGTTCTGTGGGTAAGCAAAGCAATAAAAAATGTCTAATACCAACACTGAGACAGCTAACAAGTTAAACTAGACCTTAAACCTGCAACATCAGCTCAGTAACATGTTTAAGTACTTGCAGCATCAGTCACAGGATGTGAAAAATATGTTTTCATGAGTTGTTTTTAGAAATAAAGCTCTCTTGTAAAAGTAAAAAAAAACACGTCTTGCAATTTTTTATCCATCTAAAAAGTATTTTTGATCTTGTTTTGAGACTGGTTTACTGAGCAAGATCAGAATGTGTTAAGAGTATTAATCTTGTTAGCCAAGAAATTGTCCTTATTTAAAGAGGCCTCAGCAAGTGCCATTGTCTTACTCCACTGTCAGATTATTTCACCTAATTTGAGTCTGAATTTTCTCAAACCAAGTGAAATAATCTGCCAATTCAGTGTACCCCTGTGAAATATAAATTCATATTTGCAGTGTATTCAAGTTCATAGGTTTGATATTTATAAAGTGGTTGAAAATAGCCCTGTGAGGAATTCTGAGTGAAGTTCAAGAAAAGGAAAAAGTTCATATAAATAAAATTCTTAGAGAAGTCAGGATTGTTTCATCCAGAAAGAACTATGGTTTGCTAACCTCATTTAAATCATGTAAATAATTTTTTTGACCCTGCCTCTAAAAAGAATCAGAACGGGGAGAACTGGAATCCAAACAAGGAACCGGAATCATTCAAATTCAAACGAAGCCCAACCCAACCCCACACGGGGAGTGCAGAGACAGTGCCACAAAACAAAACGTAAAAAAAAAGAAAAAAAGAAAAAAAAACACAAACATATAAATGTAATAAATGAAGATGAAGTGTAAACCGCCTAAAATAATTTCTTTAAATGTGTTTCGTTTAAATTTTTGTATAAAATTAGGATTGAGAAAATCTGGAACATTTGAAAGTATTATTAAAAAGCCAGCCAGGTCATTTCATTCACACCTTTCTACTGAAATGTTGTGGACTTGGCAGTGTATGTGACCTTGCTTCCTAGTTTTTACTAAGGTCTCATGAAAAATATGTTCGGGTCACTGTGTGGGTGGAGAGGTGAACACGCTTTGATTTTAGTGACCATGAAACTAGTCTTGTCTGCCCACTCAGCTCCCTAAGCTTCTAACACCGTGGGTGGACTTGTCAAAAACTGCGGCCCTCTGGACGTGTTCTCAGCTGACATCTGCCTCTCCACTGATTTGTAACAAAATATATATCTTAACATTCAGCAGCTGCATTTAACTAACAATCTGTTGATAAAATGTTTCTTCTCCATAGGAAAAAAAAAGTTCAAACAAGAGATAATCAATATTTTTGAAAAGAGTACCAAAAAGTGCTGATCAGTTGTTTCAAGCTAACCTGCGTAGTTGCTCAGACCCTTTCTCTTCTTTCTTCTCCAGTACAGCCAGATGCTGAACCCCATAAGGATTACCCAACAGGCCCCTCCAATACCGGCAATAAAAGCCGGCTGTTTGACCACGTCAGTTATCTGCTCTGTGATGCTGTTGTTCCGGTTTCCGTGTATAATCACATCCCGAAACTCTTTACCTAAGGGCACAAAGACAAACAGACAACTGTGAAGGCGAAGCAGAAGGTTGGGTAAACAGGAAATATCGATGCTGATATGTATCCTTTGATTTTTCAAGGGAAACTTCAGTCATCTATATAACACTAAAGGGCATGGAATATTTTTTTCTAAATCTATAAATACATTAAAACGAGGCTGAAGATAGAAGTTCAAAGAAAGCAGCTTTGATTAACCTTTTAGCACTGTAGAGCTAAAGGATGAACAGGGAATTTCATGGACTAAGAGAAGGTAAACTCGATGTTTCCAACAAACCCCTCAGTGATCCGTTTGCTTCATTGGTCATAATTTGCTCTAATGCTTACAACACGGGTAATAAAAAGTGGCTATGAATGCATTTGATTGCAAATCACAGGTCATTCCTGCCATGCAATAAATATATATTTTACAGGAGCACAAAATTCCAAACAGCCACAGTGATAATTCTTCAAAATGGCAATCTATTTGCAAATATGCATGCAAAGTTTAACAAAATCTTTGAGCTTTATTTAACTTTGAAACTCAGTAAACACACAGCCTTTAGCCCGTGTAAAGAATAACAAAAGCACAAGAAATAATAACTGCAAGCTCAGTGCTCTGCTCTCAGAGATGGATTATGTGAGTGACACAGGGGAAATAAGTACATGCCGCAGGCCAAGTCATCAGTTATGGGTCAAATCAGAGAAAATCTGCCAGAGCTCCACATAAATCACACGTAGTCAAACCGCATTTCAAACTAACAAGTGTTTGAACAGTTCCTTCCATTTGGTGTGTTCCATCTCAGCCCTGATATCGAAACAAGCGTCATTCACTCATAGCTGAACGGTGGAAGGCGTTGAAACCCTTATCAATTAGTCTTACCAATGATAATAGGTTGAGGTTCACTCTTAACTCCAACTCCTGCACTTGTGCTGGCAGCCACTTCCACGTGGTACACCACTCCCACCTGCAGCCCCCCCACCACCACCGAGCGTATGGCTGCATCCACCGTCTTATTCACATGGAAACGTGTCTCATTCCCCAGGCACCAGATCTGAAGCAAAAACAGAGGGGGAAAAAAATAGAAACACAGTTGAATCTATTTGGTTGTGTAAGAGTTCAGCGAGAATCAATGTCGACTTGCTGCAACAAACCTTGTACTCTTGGATGATGCCGTTCTGGTGGTCTGGTGGAGGGGGGTCCCAGGAGATGCTAATAGAAGTGCTGTTTTGGTTTCCCACGGTCAGAACTGTTACCTGCTGAGGAGGCGCGCTGGGAGCTGGAAGAGACGGCAGTTCAACAGTCAGATACACATTTATGCAGCTCTGGCAGTCATCAATAAAAGAATAGTGATAAGTATTTAATAAAAGTGACTGAGAATACATTCATGACATAAATGAATAAAAACAAAGACACAGAGTCAGCATGCTTTTGTAAAGACTGATATTCTGCAGGGATGTCACAGTTGACTGAGGATTGTCAAGATAAGACCAGGGCAGATATGACATGGCCATCGGCTGTCTTTAACATTTCGCTATGATTTAATATATCAGCCCGTGCTCTGGTCTGGTCTGGTGGATTTGCACAGAGGATGCTGGTATTGATTCGTGGTATGACGGCCTGGCACTGTCGAGCAAGAGTTCTCAGTCACGCTAAGACTCAAGCATTGACCAGTTCAGTACACGGGTCAACAGGCTTAGAGGGATGAAGCGCAGGCGCAAAGAAAATATGAAAAGAAATGACATTTTAGGAGAAGGAAACAAGATCTCAGTAAACATGTTGACCAATATTATTGATCAGCCAGAAGAAACTAAAGCCAGTAGGTGAGGATAGAGGAGAGCTTCGAAGCAAGGCAAGTCTAAATGAATCAGCTCTATCCACAGGCAGACAGGGAGAGGTTAGAAAGAAGACCAGTCCAAGCTTTCATAAACCTCTGTTGTTATTCTGATGGCAACAATCCTCTGACCCCACAAGGGGTAAGAGGGAAAATAAATAACAGTTGGCCCAACTGGAAATAACGTTTTAAAAATAATGTTTTCTCATTTCCGCAGTGGCTGGCAGGGGAGCAGCACCACAGCAGAATACTGACAGGTCAATTACTCCTGGGCTGCCTCTCCCTCACCTCACCTCCATCCAAAATGGCACATGTCAACCTGTAAATCTGTGCTCATCCCTCAGCGCAATTGGCCACACCAGCCCCCAGAGAGCCAGAAGGCCCTGGCATGGTAGAAGATGAATGGTTCCAATGATGAACCCAACACCTCAGCCAGATTAGAAACAATCTACCAAGCGAGCATCTGATCAACCATCACAGTCAGGGCCCTCCAATGCTGCATTACGTTCAGTTGATAAAGTGCCGAGTTTGTCCGTGGAAGCCATCACAGACAATGTCGTTCAAAGTTAATGTTATGAATGATTTAGCAGCTTATCATCATGCATATTTGGACTAAACAATACACATTTTTCATTAGAAGCCTTGGAGGCTGTGCTAATAGGGCCATTAGCAGAGTGATGTATGGCAGGCAGGAATGTGACCCCCTGTGTTGCATGTGCACACCATGCTGTGCTGAATGATGAGTGAATGCAAACATTTCATATCATTACCAAAAGGTAGCCAATAGTTAACGACAAAAAGCCGGTGGTGTCCCCAGAGATCAGTAAAGACAATTAGTCTAAAAATGAACATTTAAGCAAACATAACTGATTTCACTTCTCTATAAATAAACATTACGTTACATAAAATATGATGCTCCTAAGTGTCTACTCTAACAGTCGAAATCAGATGGTAGCCAGGGTTCATTTATCAGCCAAGATAAGCCAGATGGAGGGTTACAGAATGTGCAAAAACAGGAAGACTAAAGCAATGAACAGAACATCAGAATGCTGAGCATAGGGTACTGCAGCTATGCAGTTGCCTGGATTTTCCCTGGGGATTTTTTGATTTTTTTAGCTAATGGACGACCTAAGTTTTAATCACCCCTTGAACTAAATTGTTTTAATCCATTTAGTCAGCCCTATTAGTCATCCCAGGGTCTCGAAAAAGCCAGTAGCCATGTGTTTGACAATGTCACGGTTGCGCCTGCAGAAGGAATTGGTTGAGATCTTGTTGGACTTGAATGTTGTCAGAGGACAAGCATGGCGTGCTATCAACATTGCCATTAGCAGGAACATAGAGTTTCTAAGGCCTTAGAAAGATAGGCGAGTTTGCACGTCTGCACTCAGTTTGTGAGTATTTGCATGAGGTTATGTGTCAGGGACAGCTGTAATGTGATGGCAGCTTCACTCCTGTGGCCAGCCTCTGTGTTGTACTGCATATACTGCTTGGCCACAGGAGATACGGTCCCTCAGAGAAAAGAAAAATAAATGGGCCTGTCAAAACAACAGGATGTAAACTGTCTCCAATACGTACAGGCCTGAATATGCTGTGGCAAGATAGGCTTTGTCTTCAGGAGAAAGTGTTTATGTGTGTGTGCGTTATTGACAGAATGTATTATTTATTTTTTTATCTCACTTTACATTAGACGATAATCCATGGAAATAAACTTAAAAACTATAGATACCCTAGTGACGTAGTATGGTATGCATTATTTCCCTTGCATAGGAAAAAAGTATATTCGCAAAATAAATAAATAAATAAATAAATAAATAAATAAATAAATAAATAAATAAATAAATAAATAAATAAATAAAACCTGTGTGACCTTGTGAGTGATTTCCTGCCGCACAGCTCTGTGGCCTTGTCAGAGACTTTACAAATCAAGCTTTGGGTGATAGATTATCTTTGTAGAAGGAAGTCCCTTGTATGGCCAATCACAGTTCAGATATATTGATGCTGATGTTGAGTGATGTTTTAGAAGGTTGGCAGCATCACATGCAATCACAAACAAGCAAAATCAGCAGAAAAACAAAACGGAACTGGGCCCATCAGAAATGAGCACAAGCACACACGTACTGTATATTTTCACATCCATCCATCTATCCATTATATATACCCGGTTCTTCCTTCGCAAGTGGCAGGGTCATACATTAACTAATGAACTTAAATGTGGAGATAAAAAAAAAGGCAGAAGTCTGTGTAACTACGACAGATACACATTTACGTAGCTATGCTACAATTTGGGAATTGCCATGCCACTTTGGATTGATATCATCTTTTGTTATTACTACTCTTGCAATCAACGTGTACGTAGTAATATTTTTCACTTCTCACCCTCCTCAGAGGTCCGTGCCGTCCTGGATTCACTGTCCATGCCTTGGAATTCATTGAAATAGGGCCGGACCTTAATCTCATAAACAATTCCCTTCTTGAGTAATGACAGGATGACACTGCGCTCAGAGGGGACCTTCACATCCTGGGTCTGCCATGGTCCTGGTGAAGGAAGCCCTGACGTCTGTCTGTACAGAACTCTGTAACCCTGAATAAACTGGGACTGACGATCCACCTGAAAATAAAAAAGAAAGGAAGATGAGTTAATCAATATATTTGAGGTATTTTGTATTTGGGCTGCAAAGATTGATGAAAGATACCTCGTGACATTGGTGATTTTCTGCTGTGTGCCTTACAATATTGCATGCATGACACTTTTGAGGCTGTAACTTGTGTAATGGGGCTTTTATCACCAGCCATGCCACACTTTGCTCAATTAACCCACTAACATTACCTCATACTCACAGCTCCTAGCCTAAAGTGTTGCCTTTTCCATTAAAACGACTTTCCATAATGCCACCTTATACAACATGTGCTTGTCCCAAATGCATAATAAATACTAAACAGAGACAATTTGAAGCAGGTCTCAGCACATCTAAGATGGGCTGCAACTATAAGAATGTCATGCAGCAACAAATACATAGACCCAGGGGACACAAAGGCAATGCACAACAGAGGTGTTATCAGCACGTATTTCCCACTGAAAAAAAAAAAATAAAAGAGACAGAATTTGTGATGAAACCTTGAAGTCACAAAGGGTAGTTCCCTTAAAACTCAGGCCATTAAGTTGAACAGAAAAAGCTGAATTTATGCAGGGGAGGAGCCAGCACATAACTCACTATAATAGCTTGTTAACAGTAGAGGAAGTGTGCACTGCTTTCAAGTGAGATATTAAGCAGCTGTTTTTCACCACTGTGGACTGAGTAAATCACCAAAATGGATTCGTTTGTTGGTGTGTGACTTTTATTAATGAAATGATGTGGAAATATAAAAGTGGCGCCGCTGTTTACGGAAAGAACCCTTGATTGATTTAGGCAGACGTGTTTTGCGTTGACTGTACATTACAATCATAAAGCAGTGGTTTAGCATTGAATTAACAACCAAGTCTTGGGGTGAGACTTACTACAGGGGCCAATAAACATGTCAGCAGGCAAACTGCTAATGCTGTTCATTTGAAAATGCACGCCGGCACCCCATTCCACTCAGTGATCTTACGTAGATAACTACAATTGAATGATTTATCGGGCCATAATCAAAATAAACCACTACATATATAATGAAAGAACACCTCAGCTTTCAAGAATCTCAGTAGACTTTTTGTCCTCATTACATGCCATTAAATAAAGAATCCAAGCTGGAGCTGCTTTAGGTGTTTCATTGTGCTTTAACCTGTCATATAGTTAATTCTCAAAGCTTAACAAACACTACAATAAGTACCTGTCCATGATGGAAAATCAGTTGTATGCTTACACATAGGAAGATTAGCTTGTTTTCATAAAGGATAGAAGGAAACCAGCAAGCATCAGCAAAAAAAAGAAAAAAGTAATCCATTTTTTGTCAGCTGATTCATCTTAAACGAGAAACAGATAAGTGAAGATTGATGAACATCCAGATGTCCCTGACAAGTCTTCTGATGTTCATGGTGGTTAAAGGAACTATTTTGCTGCCATTTGATGTTTGGTTACTTCTAAGTCACCAGTTACAATGCTTCAAAGCTGCAGGCGGAGGGAACGGCCTGACTGAAAATTTGCTGACATAAAACAAATGGTGGCCTCCAGCAGCAGCTTCAAAGGGGATCTTTAATGTCAACTACCTTCACTTTACGACGGAAAAGAACTAAAGGTGAAGAAACAATAAAACTCACACAAACCAAACTTTTTTACACATAGTCTAAATTCTTCGTAAGTTAGAATGATAGTCAAAAAAAATCAAATGTACACTGTATTTAGGAAAAATGATATGCTGCACTTACAGTCCATGTGACCTGAATGGTTGTGGGGCTCAGTACGACTGGGTTATGCAATCGAACAATGACTTCACCAAGTTCCTTCTGCACATGTCTGTGGTCAACACCCTGGGCTGGAGGGCTTATATCTAGGAGAAAGCAAAATTAAAAATGAATTGAAGCAGTGTTGTATAAAGTACCTTAAAGTAATACTTGAGTAACAGTACAAGTATCTTACCATATAAGTACTTTGGTGAAAGTTAAAGTCTCCTCTAAGAATATTACTTAGTCTTTAAGTCTCTAAGTCTTTAGTCTTAAGTCTTTAAGTATCTGTTATTTACTGTACTTAAGTTTCAAATGTAAATTTCTGATTTAAAAGGTGCTTAAGTGTTAAAAGTAAAAAGTATTGATGGAAAATGAAAATTAAGAATTTACAAAATGCCATTTATTGGAAGGTGAGTTACGCCCCAAAAAACACTTTTTTCTAAAGGACATAATGACTATAATAACAGAAGGCAGCAACTAAAATAAATCAACAGACAAAAGGAAACTAAAGTTCAAGAAAGAAACCTTGACTTTCAATAAAAGTGAGGGTTAATGATAATGAGCTCACATGTTTACCTAAGTTTACTTCATTTTTTTAATCTACACAAAAATTATCTTTCATAAAGTTAAAAATTCTTTTTAGCCACTTGAGTTGCCTTCACTTTCTTGGACCTTACTGAACAACCAAACTGAACTCTGAATGTTTGACCCCTCCAAACATATTGAATGAAAGATTAATGCACAATATGACACTATTTCCCAGCTCATTTCCACCCACATCTGTTTTAAGTTAAAAAAGAAATAAAAACTTCAGTATCTGAGATCCTGAATGTGGTATATGCGAGCCACATTTTGAGTTATTTACTGAAGGAAACAGGAAAACACTCACAGGAGAAATTTGCATTTAAAACGAAGCTTCATTGAGAAAACCCAATACAGTCATAAATCATACACCAAACTAACAGGGAGAGATAAGACCAAAAAACATAAAAGTAAAAAAAAATGTAGTGAATCAATTCATCATCAAAGCATGTCGTCGTCAATCAACATATCTACATATCATCTTAGGACTTTTAGCTGAAAATTGCTAAAACTCTACCCTTTTTTAGAGTTTTTGCTTGTGTTTGAAAGAGTATAGCCAAAACCTGTGTTTAATTAATTTATTTTGTTGCCAGAGACTTTTCATATTACTGCACACTAAAGACTGTGGTCTGCTCAGCAGTGTAATCAAATGTTCTCTGGAATTGGAGATGGTCATTTTCTCCTATTATAAAGATTAACATTGCATGGAAGTCACTAATGCTGTTATGCTTTCCAAAAGTAGACATGCTTATTTTACATAATTGCTTAAGTGTAGCCCTAATGAGCTGAGCCGAGAAGAAAGTTGACCTCTGGAACATTCTGCAGTGCTTTGCTACAGTAATTTACTGCTAATTGTGAATAGGAACTGATAAGTATCACACTTTGGAGTGTGGCCTTATCATATAAAAGAAAAATAAATTACACTGAGCAAAGAAAATGACAAAAGCAACCATCAGAGCTTCAACCTAATCAATAATCATGTTAGGTACAGTACCTTGTGTTCTGACAGGATCAGACATGGGGCTGGGATCACTCAGGCCCTGGGTGTTGACTGCTCGAACCATGAACAGGTAGATGGTGTTGGGACGAAGACCTTTGACGGTAAACTGGGTGGTTTTGACATGATCTGCTACTGTTTGCCAGCTGTTGCTCACTGATTGACTGCAATAGAAGAGACTGATGTTCTGAAACTGTTTTCCACTGTCACATCATCTTGGTCTCATGGTACGCTACATTTGCACGTGTAGGCAATAGCCATAATCAACCAGTGCTGCTACAAGGTAGGGATTTGGTGTGATGGTACACAGACCTGAATGCTTCAATGACATAGGAAGAGACAGGTGATGCTCCAGTCATGCCCGGCTGCCAGGACAAGGACACACTGTTCTTGGTAACGTCTGTAACTTGAGGTTTAGATGGTGGGCCTGGAAGCTCATTCTCATCAAAGTTCGTTGTAACTATGGCTCCACCTGATTCTGCATGGAAACAAAGGAGGATACATAATATAGACAATATCGGTAAAAATCATTACAGTCAACAGGAAACGTATATTGACCAACCTTTGACTTCTAAAAAAGCACTCCATGACGTTTCACCACTTGAGCTTGTAGCCACACACGTGTAGATCCCAGAGTCTGAAAGCTAGCGTACAGTAGAAAATGCAAGAATGCTTGAACTGAAGCAACATGCAGAACTTTTCTGACACTTTTACTGCAAGAATAATTTTTAAAATAAACACACCCACTTAGGATAATCCTATTGCCGAAACACAAAGTGATGGAAAGATGCCACATGCTAGCCCTGCAGCAGGACAAACTCAGTGTCATTTGTGAGTACCCCAAAGTGCTGACGCTAATTTTCTAATGAATTCTATTTTCTACTCACCACCCTTCCATCACTTTTCCACCCCTCCCTACTTGGTCCCCCACTGTCCTGCGGACCACAACAAAGCCAGGCTAATTAATTTATAGTGAGCTGATAGAACCCCTGGACCGATGACAGCTGGCTTGTCTCTCCATCTCTCTTAGGAACTTTGGTTGTTTGTTGGTTTTTGTCCCCGTGCCTTCCTTCCATTTATTAAATAACATGTCAGTGGTCTGCAGCTTTGTCAAGCATAATAGGTATTCCACTGAGACCTCTGAGTGGGGGAACGTAGACGTGAGCCTCTTAAATTTAATCTACTCTAAATGTGCATATGTGTACACATGTGTGTGTGTGTATCAGTAAGTGAATACATATTCTCTCCAGCAGCTGGAGTCCATCCATTCATTCACAGCTGAGCCCAGTTGGAGCTGCCATGCCACTAAGTGACGCTATCAAACACTTTTGAAAAACCAAAATCAGTGCAGACCTTCCATATCTTTATAGCTTTTATCATGCCGTTAGTAATTTTTGGGGAAAAAAACATATTTCCAAAAAAGTAAAATGTTTGAAATCAAAACCAAACATTATTTCAAAACTCATACTTCGAAACTTATCACAAAACTGTTGGTACACAACTTGCTTTGTGGGCAAAGCACAGAAGCTCACAACTGTTACCTTGATGTTTTTGATCTGCAGGCTGCCCAGCTCTTGTAGGGACATCCGAGAGTCCTTTCCCAAAAGACTGACCCCGTCCTTCAGCCAGCTGATGGAAGGGATGGGGTCTCCAGATGCCTGACACTTCAACAGTGCCACGCTGTCCACCCCGAGTGTCTGATTGGATGGTCCTTGGCGAATAATAGGTGGCGGTCTGTCTGTTAGCACTTAGACATAAAGACAAATTTATGAGCACACTATCTGCTTTCAGGGGGATAATGGTGTTCATATAGGATGTCCGACTATAAAGCAGACCGAGTCACAGCATTAATCATAAAACACACTGAGACAGATGTGGGCACCTATCATAGGGTCAACCATTTTCTTCACATGTCATTAAACTGTGCCACAGAACAATGAGCTTATCCTATATTTCTAAGAATGATGGAAAACAAAGCTGAGTAGGGCTTTATAGTTTCACTGATGTGGCAGAGGACTGGTAACAGTTTCCTGTTACTGCCCGGGTAGCCTTATTTTTATACATTACCCAGGACTCTGTGGTATACTTAGGCGGTGAGGCTCTTGCTGGTTGAGTCAGTGTGGTTTGGATAAATACTTCATTATGTGCAACGTGGGGCAAAATAAAAAATGATTCTTAAATACTGAACGTTACTGTTTTCTGTCTTCAAATTCAATAAAGAGAGAAGGGAATCTTTTTTTTAGGTTCCAATTTTTACTCAAGGTAAAAGTTAATGCTGGGATCAGTTCCATTCATTTGAGCAGTTTCATTTGCTATAATGTGCAAAAACAAGCCTTTGGGTTACTTTTATGAATTAGTGGGTAAGACAGAGGTGATCTCCAAGAGATTTAGCACCGGAGCACATAGACAGTTTATAATTTAGAGTTGAATAATGTGGAGTCCCCGTGGCATCACAGAACCTACATTAATTAGAAAGTATGGATTAATGATGTCAGACCTGGAGGGGCTAATTACCAAGTCTACCTCAGTAACCTTTCAACACATTATCACACCCTTGCTTCCAACCCTATTTTCTCTTTCACAGCTACATCTGACAAAAAGAAGTAATTCAAAGTAATTCACTTTTGAGGTGTTATGGTCACCCCTTGCTTGGGGTCAGCTAAGATGTAGGGGGAAAAAGTGCAAATGTAGAATTTATTATCCACCACAAGTCAAAAAAGTGCTTAATTTTAATTGTTTTAGTCCTATTCAGGGTGAAAATTAAAATTAAATTAAATTTAAAAAAATCCTAGGAGGTAAGGGTAACCAAATGTAAGGCACACTTGACCAGCCAGCTTGTTTTTTGTCTTTAATAAAGCACAGCTTTGGCCTCAAGATTTAAACTAACATCATATAATGTATAAAAAAAGTTTCATTTAAATTATAATGTACATCAGTGTTTCTTAAAAGAAATGGTTTAAGTGTTATGAGTCCAACGCACGATCCAGAACAGAGTAAGCTGATGTAAGGCTGCATTACCAGCAGCAACTGAACAAGCAGAGGACACCGCTTTGACAGGAGATTTGATGCATCAGGATGCATGTGTTCATGGCATGTAGGAGTGACAAAGAGACGAGGTAAAGCTCAACTTGGCCTTGGGTCTCTGGATCAGGAATTTTTCATTACAGATATCCTTGAACTCCGCAGACTGCTGGCGGGACTCGGGGCAGTAAATCACGGGAAGACTGCAGCAGGTGAGGCCGTGACCTTTCCCTGACCCTCCCTTGTTCTGTCCTCCTTTTGCTCATTCAGTCATAGAACCTGTCTAACACCCTTCTTGTTAACATTCCATTCAGCACATCAATAAAAAAAAAAAGATAACGGATTACACTAAAATAGAATTGGTTTAGAATAAATAGAATAAAAAAATATTTGCTCAAATGGAATTTGTTCATCAAAACTCAAATGCTCATAGAAGCTAAGCTTGTTTTGATTAAATATTTACATTCATAAAATGTACCGTACACTTACTAATAAAGAACATACCAAATAAAGTCTTCCTGTGGTGTTTTTAATTTAGCTGCTTGCAGGTGTTTCAGCAGACGTATGGATAGCCGTCTATCTTACATCACAGCAGCTGAGCAGATTAGATGCTCCCATGCTAAGCGAGCACGTAATTCATTCTGCATAAGGCTATTGTCACTCGTTCAATCAATCTCTCTGCCCCTTCCCTCGTGCACATTTTTGTGCCTCGTCCAAATGCTGATCATTAAACTTGAAGAAACTCAAGGACAATCCTTTATTTCTTCACTGAAAAGAAAATTGTGAAGTTTTAATTAAATTCTCCAAAATTAAAAAAAAAGGAGTCGAGCAAAAAAATACTGAAATTGAAAGTCAGTAGTGCACTGATACTTCATAAAAGCTGAAATATTTTGTATAGACAACACAATCCTATTTGTGTTGCAGCTTTTTAAAACGGTATTTATGTTTAAATTTCAATTAAAACTGAACAAGGCAGAAGAGACATTTAAACCTTCACTTAATTCAAGCATGGATCATATGACTGGTGATGAGCCACCAGCTTCGCTGTGTTTACAGTGATGCTATGACATGCGCTAATGTGCGGCTGTGTGCAGAGAGGAAGAAAGTCACACTTTAGTTCTCCCTCACCATCTGTGACCTCCAGCTGAGCCTTAGCAAGGATGCTGCCCGCAACAGTCAGGGCCTGGCAAATGTAGTAACCGGCATCTGATCGCTGCACAGATGAGATGGTGAGCTCTCCGCTGGGCGACACGGAAAAGCGACTGTTGGGCTGTTGGGGTTGGTTGGGAAAGAGCAAATTCTGAAGGAGGAGGAACACAAAACCAATTAGCAAGAACATGAACCCAGTGGAACAGGGACAAAATGACAAAATTGCCTATTTACATGCTAAACCGAACAAACACACACACTGGAAATGATGAAAAAAAGATTAAGCTGTTACAGCTGCAGTATGAGCAATTCCATCTATCACTTGGCTAACCAAGCTCAAACAGAAAAACAAGTATAGACTTGTAATGTTTTTTCCTTGATCTTGATGTTTCAACTTAACTTCAGTCTTGAATGATTTTCTTTTGATTTTTCTTTTGAAGCAAACATACTCTTTTAGATGGAAAAAGTACATAGTGTTAGTTGGATGTTTGTGCTGAATTTTTTTAATAGAAAAACAAATACTTTCATCAAAAATTCCTTTCTGACTTTGTTGCAATTCCTTTGGGTTTATGACAGCTTGAATCTATTGAAGCATGAACGTCACTAATGAAAAATAAATGTTCTTCATCAATCAGGTTCCAACTTTCTCATAAAGCTGTTGACAGATCAGATTTGCACGGTGGAGTCTTGTGAAATTATTATAAAATTTGTTTTTTTATTATAAAATTTGAAACCGACGTGAAACCTGGACTGTGTGCTGACCACACCATGTCTTATCTGAAGAACACAATTTGAAATAAGGAAACAGAATAGTCATGAAAAACAAGTTTACTTTAAGGGAATCTACTTTACATTGATGGAAAGCAAAAAAGGTGTCCATTCAGTGTAAATACGGGCTTTTATTGTGAAGCTGATAACCAAGTAAAGACTTTTTGTTCTGGATCACTCGATTTCTTACAACTCATTTATAAATATTGACTTTTTTATTATTTTGGTTTCTGTTTGTCTAAATCTATTATCAGATCTCTCCTTGGTATCATTTTTGTCATCAGTCATATAGTAATCTGTACTTAAGGTTTGCAAGCACTCTCCTTAAAATGCAAACTAAATTGTGTATTGTTGTGCACAAATGTCATTTTTTTAGAACTGTAAGATTTCATCATTTTTAGTCTATTATTTTAAAAATGTCATGAATTGCAACAGTTTTGTATGTAGATGTACCCTTTGCATAATGTTTACAACTAAAAAAAATTGTTTAGTTTCATTTCTGTGAATGAATGATAATTCTCAAAGAGTGGTGATTGTGGTGTTTTTTTTTTCAAAGATGTAAATATAATCCTATTTAAGCCTATTTGTTTTAAGATTTCCAAAGCAAAAACAGCAAATATAGCACCTACAAATAAATATACCTAATTACGCAGACAAAACAAACTAGAACTGCAAAGCAGTTATGACCGGGGTCCAAGCCCTTTTATGCATGTCAGCCTTTGTCATGTTGTTTGTAGCATATTGTTGATCTTTTAGCTTCTTGGACAAATTTCTCTCCAACAAACGCAGTAAATAAATAAAATTTGAGAAGTTTGAGTATCAGAATTGTTTGTTATATATCACATACTTTATGCTGTGAATACTAGCTCTGTAGGTCAAATGTATGATTTTTAATATTTTTTAAAGCCTGTTATGTACAAGCCCTGTCCACTTTTAACCAATCATTACCATATTCTACAAACCCACTCAGTTTGTGCTCTTAAGTAAGTGTAATAAAGTTCATGTCAGTTGGTACTACTGCTTAAGAGATATAAACATAATGCATTTCTGGCGCCCCCTATAGTTTGGTTGATTTGAAACTTTGAATACTTGCTCAGAAAAAATAATTGGATACTTGACATGAGTTTGATGTTGATATGTGTTAACATACATAAATGACTGTCATTTTTGTTAATGCTAACAAGCTAGCTTTGCATAAAAATGAATATAACTTGATCAGGCAAAAACCAAACAACTTTTCCTGAACATCGTTTGAAGAGACCCTATTSTAGGTGCTACTTGGGAAGTTTCATGGTTAATGGAATTGTGCCTTTGGAGGAGATAATTTTTAAAGTTTTGYCATATTATGCCAATTTGCATAAATAACATTACATTTTTTAAACAAACATATATTTTATCAAAAATACTGTACAGATGAACAATTAAGGGGCCACAATAATTTTAATAATTGGGCTAAGTATACAGGAGTTACAGATCAAAATGTTTCACACATCGTCTTAGCACCACCTATTGGTGGACTCATGCAAATTTTTAGTATTAGAAACTTTGAATACTTGCTCAGAAAAAATAATTGGATACTTGACTTGAGTTTGATGTTGATATGTGTTAACATACATAAATGACTGTCATTTTTGTTAATGCTAACAAGCTAGCTTTGCATAAAAATGAATATAACTTGATCAGGCAAAAACCAAACAACTTTTCCTGAACATCGTTTGAAGAGACCCTATTSTAGGTGCTACTTGGGAAGTTTCATGGTTAATGGAATTGTGCCTTTGGAGGAGATAATTTTTAAAGTTTTGYCATATTATGCCAATTTGCATAAATAACATTACATTTTTTAAACAAACATATATTTTATCAAAAATACTGTACAGATGAACAATTAAGGGGCCACAATAATTTTAATAATTGGGCTAAGTATACAGGAGTTACAGATCAAAATGTTTCACACATYGTCTTAGCACCACCTATTGGTGGACTCATGCAAATTTTTAGTATTAGATAGAGGTTTGTGTGCTTTATTTTTGCTGTGAAAAAAAAGTCAAAATCTCTAACGGTTTAGGCTCCATAAATGATTATATGAAAATTTTCATTTATGAAAGTATAGGCCACGCCCACTTTATTTGTGCATAATGATCTTGCTAATTTAGGTTAAAATCAAGGGTCTGTAGGTCCTTGAAAAATTTTATGAATATCCGATAAGCCATTGTTGCGTGAAAATGTTTTGTGGTTTATAGCGCCCCCTATGCCTCAATAATAGTAAAATTTGGTGCCCCAACTCAGAACAGACTCCTGTACTGAAGACACGATTTTCATCTTATTATATACTACTATTTTGAAGATATAGCAAAATTTCTGTTTAGCTAGCTTGCCTAAGCTATTTGCCTAAGCATAACTCAAGCATTTTATTATTTTTACACTTGTCCTTGAAGACTTAGAATCAACATACTAATTACATTTAGGATGGTGAGTTTCGTGGCGATCGGACTTTAAATCTTAAAAACAAATCCAAAAGAAGTTTTTGCAAATTTTGCTTTGTAGAAAAAAAAAAGTTTAGGCGGAAATGGGCGTGGCCTATTCCTTGTGACTCAGTGGTGTCCAGGGATTATGCGGCTATAAGCGAAAAAATTTTGTGACTTACGTTTTAGAATCCAGCAAACCAAATGCAAAGACCTTGATTACGGCGCCCCCTATAGGTTGACATGTCTGATTATTTTTCTCCTCCGTACCCTTAACCCTATTCAACTATCCTGTTAAAATCTTCTTCATAGTCCTTGCGGTTTGGGCTCCAGTATGAGTTTTTCCGCAGAAAAATAATAATAATAATAATAATAATAATAATAAAAAACGGAACAGATACAATAGGGTTCCATGCTCCGATGGAGACATGGAAACGCTGCTGCTTTGCAGCTGCGTTACCCTGCTTCCTCGGGCTTGGACCCCTAATTATGGTGTTTGTTTAGACTAGTTTTCTTGCATCTTGATTTCTTGGCAAGTCTGCACTTCAACATTTTTTAAGTAGAAGAATAAAAAAACTTTTTATGTCCTATATGTACTGAAGTGAATTACCTTTGATTTGCTCTCCTAGCAAATACCTTCGTATCTCCAACACATCATCAAAGCGAGTAGTGGGGACGGTTGAGATGTGCATCTGCTTGTATAAAATGTTTGTGGTGTATTTGGATCCAACAGCTCATCTTTAATAACAGTGTGACATACTCCAGACTTAGGTTTTTAGTGACTCACAGTGCTTTAGGTCACTCATAGGTGGGTGATTATTACTCCAAATAGTTGTGTGAACACGTTAACTTTTTAGTACTTCTACTAACAAAATAACTGTTTCATAATGGTTGGCCCCTTAGGCAAAGAGTGCGTCTTTGTGTGAGCGCTCCGACTTCATCCAGAGCACAGTCATATCTTTGGCTCATCTACAAGCCCCAACAGGCTCCTAATTGGCCCTGTTGTTGACTGCTGCGATCACATCCAGATATTCGGATCAGGTTATCTCTCGGAGTGAGGGATACGATCGTTCTTATCAGTGCAGGGTCACAAAAAACGATTAACACTTTGCCAGGCTCACTGTCATTTGGCAGCTCCTGAGAACAAAGGTGTATCTTTGTGTCTTTAGTGAAGATACTGATTAGAGATAGTACATTTTGGGCTGCAGTGTGTGTCTGTAAGCAGGGCAGAAGGATAAGCACATAGCCATTGTTCACATGGCTAGGAGGATCTAAGAAAAGCACTGAGGACAATAAGAGCCATTCACTAGATATTTACAATAAGAGTCATTCATTAGATCCTAAATATTCCTGCAAAAAAGATTTATGTCTTTATCGATAGGAGACAATACAGACAAATTCAGGACTCAAGCCTGTGTACTTTTATATAATAACTCTTCAGTTACAGCTCCTGTGGTTCTTAATGGTGAAGCTTTTGCATCTATATAAATATATGTGAACTGTTATGGATGATAAACTGACTTTTGACACTCATGTGAACTCCCTTTGTGAGAAGGCCCATCAGAGAACGCATTTTTATCGAAAGCTCTGGTACTAATTCTGATTCTACTTTTATGAGAAATGTTTAATTCATGTTTTATTGAGTCTCTTTTAACTTGTCCATTCATCTGTTGGTTTGGCATTTTAACATGTGAGAACAGGAAAAAACTCAGGATGTGCAGCAGAATTGCTGGCATTGCCCTAGCAAACCTCACTGACCTACACAAGGTCAGGTGAGTGAAAAAGGACAGACTGTTTCTGGCAGACCCTGAACACTCCATGGTGAGTTCAGGTTGCTTCCGTACAGACACAGGAATCAGTTGCACAGATATAGGAGTAATAGACTTAAAAACTCATTTATCTCTGCAGCAGTCAGGCTTCTTAGTGAACATTTGTGATCTTTTTTGTGTTTGTGTAGTATGAATGTTTTTGTTTTTATGTCTACTGAATGTGCAACAAATTGCCCCTTGGGGACATTGAAGATTCTTGAACTTGAAATTCAAAGCCTGGGTTATGATTATGTGTTTGGTCTTACCTGACTTCCTTCTTTCTGCCAGAAAACTGCAGGCTGAGGGTTTCCTTTGGCTTCACATGGGAAGGTGGCAGTGCGGCCTTGTGATACTATTTGATCTCTTGGACGGATGACAAACTGGGGTGGGGCTGAAGTCAAAAACCCAACATAACAGTGTTAGAAGATTAGTAGTACACAGTGAGAATAAATATCTGGTCTATGACAAGACTAGATCCGATTAGAGCTGAATAACTTCAAGCAAAGACAAGCAATACTCGACATGGTCAAACCAAAATCAGTAGTGCTTCCATGCAATAATATATTACTTTTTTTTTGCTTTGAACAAAGCAGACTATTACTGCCATGGTAACCAGGTCGGCCATTCATCCAAGTGAGGCTAAAGTTGAATGAATGACAGTCACAGTGGCATTCACACAAAAAAGAGCCTCAATGGCATTTAAATTTTAGACAACACATAGGCACACCCATGCCTTAAAAACATCCAACACTACAGTCTAGTTAGGTCTAAACACAAAGAGTTAATCATGTCCGACTTTCCATATGTAGGATTTACTCAGCATTAGAGTACACCTCATATAAAAGTCACGATCTGAAGTGGTTTGATACAACTTCTGATCGATGCGTTACAGAAAGTGAGTGAGACAGAAGAAGATGTCTGTGTTTATTACACCTCAAGCTAACACACTCTTCATCAAAAAGAGAAGAGGCCAGAAAAATCTATCAAACTTTGAGATCACGCTGTGTTTTCTCAGTAAGTGTTCCCCGTTCTATCAATAGTCTGACCACTTGTCACACTCTCACCTAAAGCCAAAAGGAGATATTTCTGAAATATAACTTGGCTGACAAGAATACATATTAAGGAAAAAATGATTCTGAAGAACATAATACAGTTCTTTCAGTGTTTTGTCTTTACTATTCTTTAACAGCAGTTAAGGTAGGTTAAAATTCCACAGTAAAAACATAAATACAAATTAAATTTTGCAACACAATAAGCAAGCAAAAGCTGAGAAATTATGAAAAGCTGTGAAACGTGGTTGTTTTGACTAAACAAAAAACATAAAGGGCTGGTTTTTGGTTTAGAGTTTTCTTCATTGTAGCCTATTGTTCTTTTTTTTAAATTAGTATCCCATTTAGTCTTAGAGGGGCGATAAAACACTTTATCTTTGCTATCCATAAGAACCAACCTGTACTCATATTATCCAGCTTAACTTACAGCATTATAAAAACTAATTGTTTTATTTATTGATTAGAAGTGGTGGTCTACAATAGTGTTGTAGTCAAGACCACCTAACCCGAGACCAAGTCAAGACCAAGACCAAAGTGTCTCGAGACCGAGACAAGACTAAGACTTTTAGGGTTTGGACCAAGTCGAGACCAAGACCAAGGGAGGGCGAGACCGAGACAAGACTGAGACAAAACCAAGACTTTTAGGGTTTGGACCAAGTCGAGACCAAGACCAAGGGAGGGCGAGATCGAGACAAGACCAGAAAAAAAACCTAGTGTCCTAAAAGATGGAGTATTCTGTACACATGTACAGTGGGAAAAAAGTTGGTGTGAAGAAATCAACTGAGGGAGCAATAATTAGAAAAACTAAAAAAACCTACAAGACCACTGATAATCTCCCTCGATCATCAGCTCCATGCAAGATCTCACCTTGTGGGGTCAAAATGATCACAAGAACATGAAAAAAATCCCAGAACCATACGGGGGGATAGTGAATGACCTGCAGAAGGCTGGGACTAAAGTAGCAATGGCTACCGTCACTATGCTGATAGGGACTCAGACCCTGCAGTTCCAGACGTGTCCCCCTGCTGAAGCCCATCTGAAGTTTGCTAGAGAGCATTTGGATGTTCCAGAAGAGTACCGGGAGAACGTCATATGGCCAGATCCAATGAAAGCAAGAATGTTAACTAATAAATTGGACAATAATCTGGCTATTTAGTGATATTTCCACAGTTGTGGTCTTGAAATAAAATTCTGAGTCCTCAATGTCTGAGTCCGAGACAAGACCAAGACCATCAAAAAGTGGTCGTGAGACTGGTCTTAAGACCAAGACCGGTCTCAAGTACTACAATACTAGTCTACAAGCTATAGGTTTGTGAACTACCATAGTTATGCCTGTTTTTTTGTATGAACTGAAAATAAAGCAAGGTGCAGCACCTTAGCTATGTGACCAAACATTTCTATTTGTTTATTTGCTGCTTGCATAAGGACCATGGTGTCCCATTTTGACAAGTACAATATTTGCTAAGAATACATTAATGACACATCTCTTGCAGGAGCTAAGATAATTTGCACAGCAAAAATGAAAGTAAACATATTAAAGCCTTAGTGCCAATGGTCTGACCTCTCATATATGAAGGCAGCGAATAAAAGAGACCGTTTTTAGACACATTATTAGAGACAAAGCAATCAACAGACTGCTTGATATTCTACAACACAAAATCTGAATTGTTGCAGTGCAACATCTTGCACTCTGTTTCTTTTGATTTTTTTGAAATTTATTTATTTATTTTGAAAGCCCTTTCTCTAATAAGCCAGCTGGTTTCGGTGAGACCAGTCTCTTCCCATTTGGCTGGTTTCTTCATGTAATTCCTTTTTGGGGGTGTGTATTTGTCAAAGATACACACAGTTGGGAATGGTACAGATGGTAACAGATTTACTGCCTTCCCGTTTGGCCTTCTGCAGCTTGGATATCTCGTGGCTCTCATAATGCTGGACCTGATACACGGCTCCTAAATCATGCTCTGGCAAGGACACTGTTCCCCTCCCCTTCCATCTACTGTTCTGTACAAAAGGACTCACTAAAAATGGGAGTTCACACCTTACAGAATGGCTGCGTTTTGTGCTTCTAAGCTTTGTCCTGTTTTCTTTATTAAAGATTTCCTCTTTCCTTTTTGGACAAACTTATGTTGTGCTCAAAAAGCTCACAGAAAATAGATATTTCAGGTTCATCAGATTTTAGAATTAAATTTTGTGATTTCATTTAGATATTTACTATGACTCCCGCACGCACAGCCGGGATCACATTTTTTTGTACTGTTTTTTTTTCCAGTGATTTTTGGTAAACTCTATCATGGAAACGGCTGCGCCAATCAACATAAATGTTGGCAGGGAATGTAGATTTGTCTGACCTATACTGTGCCAGTCAACGGTCTTACAATAGACCCCATATTTGAGGAGGGGGCTCCTTCTAAAAAGGTGGTGTCTGGACAAACAAAAATGCTTATAACTCGAAACCTGTTAAACATAGGCGCTTCAGATTTTTTGTTGTTTAGCTCTGATGAAGGGCTATCCATCGGGCCCTCCAATGTGCCCCTGCACATCCTGCCCCGGACCCTCACCCAAAACATTAAACCTGTTCTGGTGAATTGGTGCTTTGCATACATCCGGGGGGGTCATATACCGCTGTGTGGTATCTAGTTTTGTAAAATGTTACATTAAGCATTTGGAAAATCAAACATTTCTGTACATTTTTTTAAAAATACTTGAATCAAATTAAATTATTTTAGGCATCGTGCTAATAACTGACATAATAATGCTCAGGAAGCTTCACTGAGATGTGTAGGACTAAATGTTAGACATATCTGAAAGAAGCTGGAGTGCAATGGTTTTATAGCTTGGCTCTGGACTCACTCACACTTTCTATGTTTTGTTTCAGAGACCCTTAATGACACACGAGAAGCTCTTTCCTGTCCACTCCTAAGGAAACACATGATCAGGGGCCCATATTTAATTCATGACAAGTCACATCTGCCTGCTTTGGAAAGGGCTTACCATATAACAGCAGTCAGGGGGAAGAGAACAAATGGACAAGGAGACAGAGATCCATTCAGTGCTTGCAGTCACAAACATTTCCTCCTCCTTCAAAATCCCACATTCAATCATATTTTATTCAAAGGTTGACAGCAATTACTGTCTCTTCCCACAGGCAGACTGAATGTGTAATTTCTTTCGTTTTCTAAGAAGCTGACAGTTTGACAATTGTTGAACAGCTACTGCTGTTTTGGCAACTCGAGTCCTGCCACTGAGGCAGTCTTTTTATTTTTTTTTCAAGTTTTTTTCTTAAGTCAGTCAAGTCTGCCTCGACTCAAACTTCTGCCATTCTTTTCCTCTTCGTCCTTTGTCACGCTGCACATTTATTGCTACAGAATTCTTCTTGTTTCTGCTCCCAAGAATGCACATCTCTTTTAAAACTGACAATCAAACACCCTGCATCCAACAAGTTTTATTCCACCTTGATCAACAAAGTAAGATAAACTGGGTTTCCAAGTTCTGAGCTGTGCAGCTGAGCAAAACAGATGTTTGTCCAACACAAACAGATCTCAGGATGGTGTTCCATCATTGCACAGATGGCCGCAAGATTCACAAATGATACACAGCCTGGGCCACATGAAATGTCTGAAACCATTATTCAGTCAGCCCACTCAGCTATTGTTAAAATGCAAAGCAAAACTGCAATCATATAAAATATTATAACTGATAAAAACTGTGCTGTGTTGTTGCTGGAGCCAACACCAGTTCTGTTAGCTGCCCATAGAAATGTTAGTGCAAACAAACCTAGAAAGAAAACTGAATATTGAATACAAACATTGTAAATATGACTGGATTATCTGGTGACGACAGTTGTTTGCTTTGATAAATTAAATCCTGGAGACTGTCTTACAAGAAGCACAATGTGAATATGGCTTGTGATGGCGTCTATATCACAAAAGTCCTCCAACAATGAATATCTACCGAGTGTTGACTCTTATAGATTCAGTTCACAAGCTACTGTCCAGTTCAAAGAAAACTCTGCTCAATTCAGTCATCCTATTCTAAGCTGGATCTGAATTTATCACCTGCTTTCAATTAAATACCAATGTGTGTTTTGCTTAGTGAAGTCCCCACCAAAGCGGTAGATGATTAGAAACATAAAACTTACTCATCCTCATTGTTTCAAATTAATCATATTTTATCCTTAAAAAATAGTGCTTTGTCCCTGAGATCTAATAAGCTACAACAAACAAAATACACTATGTTTATCTGGATATTTTCAAGATACCTTCGATGTAAAATTGTGAAATATCCAACTAAAACATAATTGTTTAAGGACAGCTTAATGAAAGGTCTGTTAGTTAATCCCCCCCCACCCTCAAAAAAGAAAAAATAAATAAATAAATAAAAAATAAATAATATAAAGTCAATGGAAACTGATTGCCAAGCATTTGAATGCAGTGACATGCAGAATGGGTTCAAATCAGAGGGATGAGTACTTACCAACAGGGCGAGCTGGAGACACAACAAAGGTGGAGTTGATACAATAAAAAAGGTAAGACAAAGACACACAAACGTTTAAAACAAACAACAAAAAAGAGGAACAGAAAAAAAAAGTAAGACAAAAATAAATCAAAATTTAGAATGAATGACATGTTGCGCTGCAGCCAACACAGTTCTGGCATCATGTAAGCATGACAGAATGGATCCAGTAACTTTTGTCCACTGGACAGTTTGTCGATGAGCTGAAAGCATCTGCTTTTCTCTGACTTGAGTGAAAAAATCAGTCTGGTGTAAAAAAAAAAAAAAACACTCTTTTTCAGTTTATTCAAATTTGTATTTTAGACACAAACATACTGGACCTTCTCTGTCTGCTTCAATTAAATCTACATTTTTTTATAGGTGGTGTGTGTTGGTGCTGGCAACCCATGTGTTTATCTTAGCTACCAATGACTTGAAGAAAAACTACATCAATAGGAGCAAAAATATTCTCAAATTTATCATCCAGAGACAGAATCATCGGCGAACAGTATTCTTGAAAGCGACATCCACAGAGGAACTGGTACATGTTCCCTAACATTTCCTCAGTGTAGCTATCCGTGCCTTCAAAATGAAGATGCAGCTCTCGCAAACATAGCTTCTAAGAAACTAAAACCTGTACCAAAGTCAGAGCTTGCCTCTACTTTTTCTGAGCTTTCCGTGTCACTCTAAAGCACTCCGCGGAGACTGTAAATCTCGGGGTGTAATGAAAAGACGACTGCGGCAAATAAGAAAAATTATACCTAGAATGTTTGTATTAACCTCTCAAACCCCAGGTGTGGTAGTAACGGTGAGCACCAGTAATCTGTGAAATGGCTTTGCTGACTGAGTGGTTACAGTGTGGAGCGTAGGAGCAGCAGACCACTACGGTGGAGAGGGGAGGGTGGCGATGATGCAGTTGGAAATATAAATAATTGAACAGATTCATTGACTGTCTACATCTCTGTTGGCCAAAGGAGTCTGCATTCTGCATCTTCATTTGCATAAAAGAGTCCCCATGGATAAAGCTTCCAATTTAAACCTCATATTGGTGGAGGGTAGTGATAACCCTACTGGGCCGTGACTTGTGTATGTGGTGTTATGTGCAAGTTAATGGAAAGAAAACGAGAACGAGTGTGTTTCATACCTCTGACAGTGAGAGAGGCAGAGGCCTCCAGCTTGCCTACACGGTTCTCGGCCACACAGGTGAACATGCCCTCATCGTTAATAGAAGCTTTCTTCACTCTCAGTATGTAGTCGTCCTTGTCGTACTTGATCTCATACCTGCAAACAAACATACACCGCCATGAAAAGCAAATCTCTTTGGCTTTTCAATACAAATAAACAGGATAAGATAAAACATAAACTCCATGCAAATAACTTTCATTCAGAGGTGTCCCATGTCTGAGTTATCATTTGATTATTTATTTATTTTTTCATATTTTGAGATCCAGAGAGAAGCACAATTATTCCTTTTTGACAGATGAAGGTTGCAGGGAGCAGGATCAGTTCACACAAAAACACATGGCTTCAGTATGAAAGTGGAAACATTCAGTATTCATGA